AAGGAGAGGGCTGCCTGTTGGGGGCTGTGCAGGAATGCCAGATGCACCCTAGAGTGCCTTGCGACTTCCTGGGCTTCCTTCCCAGTGCTGTCTTCCTCCACCTCAGCTGACTGCACAGCAGCCTTCCTCTTGGGGAAGTCGTGCAGAGTTAACGCTTCACCTGTAAAAAGCGAGTAAGGTCAGTGGCTTGTGGTCATGATCTCTGGGCTCGGGAAGCTGACACAGGAGGATCATGAGTTTGAGGCCAGCTTGGGCTACATAGCGAGAATTTGTCTCAATATAACAACAAAAACAAACAAAGCAAAATGAAACAAAATTCTGCCCAGGCTGTAAAGGGTAACACATATTTATGACGTAGACATAGGAGAGAGTTAGGATTTAGGCAGGCTCTGTGTTTGAATCCTGATGCCAAGCCTTTAGTTGTGTGACCTTCAGCAGGTTGTTTATGCCTGAGCCTGTATTGCCTTATCTGCAGAAAGAGGTAAGAAGTGCCTAACACCTAGAGGTTATTGTGACGGACAAACACACAATGTATGTTAGGTAACGGGAGCAGTGCCTGGAATATAATATATATTTAATAATGGCAGCCATTAACAATAGTTTTGGGGCTGGGTGTGGTGCTACACACCCATAATGCCAGCACTCTATGAGGCTGAGACAGGAGGATCAAAAGTTCAAGCCCAGCTTAGGCAATTCAGCAGCTTCACAAGAACTGTTTCAAAAAAAAAAAAGGTGGGGATGGGGAATGTGGCTCAGTGTAAAGGCCCTGTGTTCAGTCCCCAGTAACACACACACACACACACACACACACACACACACATACACACACACACTAGCAGATTTGGGATTATCCACAAATGAATTTTGCTGTCCTTCCCAACCACTTTAGATTTGGGGGAGACTCCATGTTCACAGTGAGATCTAAATTCATCTGCTACCAAATGTCCTTAGTCTGGTACCTGGAGAATAGCCCAGTAAGGTTAAGACAGAGGTGATGTTAAAAAATGAAAAGGAGGGCGGGGTTGTGGCTTGGTGGTAGAATGCATGCTTAATATGCATGAAGCCCTGAGTTGGGTCCCTAGCACTATAAACAAACAAAAAGACATACATAATTGTTCAGGCTGATAAAATTATTCCTAGTTTAAAGTTTTTCAAACCAGGCTAGGTTTGGTGGTGGTGCACGCCTATAATTCCAGCACTTGGATGCTGAGGCAGGAGGATTGCCAAGAGTTCAAGGCCAGCCTGGGCTCCAAAGTGAATTCAAGGCCAGCCTTAACTACATAGTGACACTTTCTCCAAACAAAACAAAATGAAACACCTAAAAATTAAAAAAAAAAAAATTAGGTGCCCAGCAGCGTGGTTTTTTTTTTTTTGTTTGTTTGTTTTTGAGAGAGTCTTCTGTATAGTTCAGGGAGCCCCTGAAGTATGTAGCCCAGACTGGCCTCAGACTTGGGGTAGTCCTCCTGCTTCTGCCTCCCAGTGCTGCGATTGCAGGCATGTGCCACCATGTCTGGTGCAATAGCTTTTTTTGATAAATGCTTCTTCTTATGGCTATCTTCAGATTCTTGCCCAAGGGCCGATTGAATTCAACAATCGTCTGAATAACTGTTGCATATTAGGCTCTCTGTTAAGCACTAAAGATTCTGCTTTGCATAAGACATGACTTTCTCTTTTATTCCTGCTGGGGATTGAACCCAGGACCTTGTACATGCGGAGCATGTACTGTATCACTGGCCCAAAGAAAACCATTCATTTTTTTTGTCTTTTTTTGAGACAGGATCTCGCTATGCAGTTCAGGCTGGCCTTGAGCTCACTTTGTAGCCCAGGCTGACCTTGATCTTGCAATGATCCTCCTGCCTCAGCCTCCCAAATGCTGGAATTACAGGCATGAGCCACCACGCCCGGCCAGAAAACCATTTCATCCAAGGAAACACTTAGAAAATCCCCCAGAATTGTCTTAACTACCCCATTCACCCCCACACCCTTTGAAAGGCTTAGTTCTTCGATTGCTGCTGAGACTCTCCTTGTGTCTCCTCACAGATACTCACCTCACCTGGCTTTCCCAGATCCCAGCACAGCTAAATCCCACTGCTAATTCTCTACTGTTTTCTATGTAATGCCTATGAATTTCATCTCCCAGTCAGATTATAAGTAACTCTAGGGTGTGAATGTTCTATTGGTTCTTTTGTTTGTTTTGTTTTTGTTTTTTGTTTTTTTTTTCTTGAGAATGGGTCTTACTTTGTAGTTCAGACTGGGCTTGAACTTACTATGTAGCTCAGGCTGCCCTCGAATTTAGGGCAATCCTCCTGCCTCAGCCTCCCGAGTGCTCAGATTACAGGTGTGCATCACCATACCTGGCTTTCAGTTCATTATCTATTTCCATAATACCAGCCATTTTGTTATTCCTCTTTTTCATTATTCATGATGATTGTGAATGAAACTTGTAAGCCTGTATGAAACAGAGTTTACAGGCTGGGCGTGGTGGCGCACGCCTGTAATCCCAGCACTTGGGAGGCTGAGGCAGGAGGATCATTGTGAGTTTGAGGCCAGCCTGGGCTACAAATGAGTTCAAGACCAGCCTGAACTGCATAGTGAGACCCTGTCTCAAAAAGACAAAAAACAAAAAAACAACAACAAAGAAACAGTTTAACTTATCCCTCTATGTCAGTTGAGTCTCAGGCAGATTTCTAGCAAATGGCACTTTCCCATACCCTATTGTCTGATTCACTTAGGAAATTTTCTTTTCGCCTTTTAATTTTCTTTTTCCATAGTGTTGACATTGAACACCAAATCACTAAATTCTGCATGGAAAATACAAGTTCTGTTTTTGCATTTGATCTTGAAAGAACTTGAATCAACTTGGAAATCCCTTCAGAAGAGGGCAGGGCAGCTCCTTGGCACATCTGTAACTCAACAGCCTTGCAGGAGGACAGCAAAAAAGATTTTGCCCTCACATCATCCTAAAGGGCGATCTGCTTCTCATCCTAGCTTGAATTGGGGGAGGCAGTACAGTGCCTATTAATTCTATGAGGATCCCCACAATGGAAAATATCCTGATCTCTCTGAAATCACACACTGTACTTAGACGCTCGTTTTCCCGCAGAATAGCACAGCTGTTATTTTCATTTCTGCAGTGTCACCATGGGTGCTTTGGGACTATTCTCACATTGAAGTATGGCCTGTGAAGTCACAGACTGCTCAGGAGTGACATCCATGCCACCGAAATTGAACTTACCCCTGAACACTCCCACTCACTCACGGTATTAGACACATGCTAAAGAAAGAAATGGAAACCACTGTACATATATATAGAAAAATTCTCTCTACCTGCAAATACCTGCTTATATGGGAGAGGGGTGAGCACGGGCATGCGCACATCATCTGCGCATCTGCCCGTGAATGAGAACCTTCCCAAAGGGAGGCAAGGGCCTAATCCTATCAGTGGAATTGATGAAAGGTAACAGGCTCTGGGCTATTTATAGACCTTAAATTGGCATGTGCCATATATAATGAGTACCTGGCTGATCTCATTTTTCAAAGAATTTGAGATAAAGCAAAGGAGACACCAAAAAACTCACAAGTATGATGAGGAAAGGTAATGAAAGGTTCACATCATGAATACAGTTTTTTAAAAATAACATTTAACATTATATATTTTATAACATAGATGCCTGGAAAACTTTTCATAGTGAATTAGATAAAGTGGGATTCCATTCTGAAAAGGGACTGAGACAACACGAACCACCGAAGCTGGGTGTGGAGGTGAAGAGGATTATCCCAATGCGGTACTGATTTTATTGGACTTCAGCGGTGTTCAGTATCACCGCTGCTCAGATGCCAAAGCATCTAAGAGCTATGCCTGGAGCACGGTATCGTCCAGACAGACTGGTTCACGGGGCATGAGGGCACAGGAGGCCTTCACAGAGCAATGCCAAGAGTAAGGACACAGGGCCAGGGAGGCCAGGGAGACAGCTCGGTGGCACAGGCCCTGCCTGGCAAGCGCGAGGTCCTGAGTTCGATTTGCGGTCCAAAAAAAAAGTAGTGACACAGAAACACATCTGGGCCTGACCATCCTATACTCCTTTTGCTGGGAAGAACGAAGGTCCTCTACCAAAATAGCGGACAGAACTGTCACTCTCAGAAGCAAGGACAGGAATGAGCCATTCGCGCATCTCCAGGAACCAGGAGGCTGCACTGTGGTCTGAGGCTGCATTGTATGTGGGATCCCAGCCCCACAGCTGCAGACAGGGAGGGGGCATCCGCAGGGCGCCTCACCTTCAGAGCCTCCAAGGTGGGCACACGTTTACCTGTCAGCTCCTCCTCCTTGCCCCATTCTGGTTACTCCCGATTCTCTCTGAGACCCTCACAGGGTCTTCTTGGGGTGTTACGAGTCATGTGGATTTTACTAGGCAACTAGAGAAACGGCAAACTCTTTGTTACACAAGAGCACAGTCTGCCCCCTCTTTCTTCCAAAACTTCCTCACCTGTGAAATGGAATAACAGCCTTGTCCTCTCCACACAGTGAAAGTGCTGCATCAGATGGAAAAGGTGACAAAAACCCAAGGCACTGTAGCTGTGGACGTTGATGCTATTTGTATGACACATCCCATAGCTTCCAATAACAAACAACAAAGTACTAAATGTGCTTCAAAAGCCACAGCCCGCTGAGGATAGTTGCCTAACGCTAGTTTAAAAGCCAGGTCCCGGAGCCTGGATCAGACTCCACTCAATTGGAAGAAAGTGAAGGGCCGGGAGACCTAGATTTTTAACAAGCTCCCGGGCACTGCTGGGGTGCGAGGTCCGCCAGGTCCGTGTGACCCCTATTTATTTCATTCTATGCACAGAGCTGTGCAGCCTGGTTTGGAGGAACCGACGTGAGACAATGATCAATTCCCACACTTTCCAAACTTGACCGGGTGGGGGGTGGGTTACAAGAGACGGGAAGCAAACCTGGAGCTTCGCAGGGGCGCCAGCCCCGCGCACCCCGAGCGCGCACTCACCTACGATAATCCCGCAAGCGCTGACCAATCCGATCTCCTTCTTCAGGGCCACCCCGCCCCCTCCGGAGCCGGCCCCCGGCCCGGCCTCCGGCTCGTCCCCGGGCTCGTCCCCGGCGGGGCGGTTTTTCTCCGCGCTGCTTCGGTGCCGCGCTCCTTTTTCCATCTTTCTCAGTGGGTTCTAGGCTCCAAAAGCAACCTGCCTCTCCCTGAGCGCGTCTGCGCGTAAATATGCGGATGCAGGGAAGGGAGACTTTTCAGATTTAAACGCCCTTTCCCCAAAGCGGGACCGCTCCTGACCTGCGACCAGATCAAAGGGAAAACTGAAAATATCCCTACTTGTACTGACAGTTCCTTGTCACCTGTGTGAACCCACAAGGACCGTGTCGCTTGAGGACGGAGATATTTAAGTGTAAAAATAGAGCGGTCTCGTGGGTCCAGCTGGAATTCTCCGGAACCGAGCGAGGGGCTCTCCAGAACCAAGATGACTCTGGTCCGTGCAAAAAGACAGCCTGGGTTTCCCTGCGGCTCTCAGGGATTGCCTTCGCCGCCCCTGGGCCTTTCGTAGGGAGGAGGATAAAAGTAGTTTTCACCTGCAGAGGTGGGGGAAAGGGCAATCCTCAGGTACTTCTTCCCGTCCAGAAAAACAAAGCTCTGGACCTGGCCGGCTGGCTCTGGCTTTGGCTCTGGTTCTGGCGTCCACCTGCTGAGGTTTGCTCCCTGCTCCCGGCCCGGCTTCCGCTCGTCCAGAGCTGCTCTTCCTCCTCGCCGCTTCTCGGCTCGTTCTCGACTAGCTCAGGGCGCCGGCTGCCCCATCGCTCTGGGCTGCGGGAGAGCGGCTCCTCCGCGCGAATGCGCTTCCCTTTTAGCCAGGGCTTTTATTTGCGGATCAGGCTCCGCCCCCACCTCCTCCATCCTGAGCCCCTTCTCCTCCCCCTCCTCCTCTGCAATTTAAATATTAGCACAGAGCCCCCCAGAGATGGCAGAAAAAATGGATTAAAACCCTTCTCTTTGTAATACTTTCTCCTTCTACCGAAGTGGAAGTAAAAACCCTTCCACACCAACCTCTCTCGGGGAGCTCGTTAGCTAGTATTGCATTACAGGTCGTGCGGCATTTGTGAGCTTTGTAAAGGGAACAGTTGTGCACTTACTTTTAATGTCATCGGAAAGAAACTGGGCGGTGTTTTACTTAGGTATGGATCATTTGAGGATACAGGAGAGAGGTTGTAGGGTCAACATTTTAAGTCGTTTCTTCGAAACGGGGGATCCACGGGTCGGGCCGTAGGACGGAAGGAATTAATAATAATGGCAAAGAGTCTCATTTACTGGCCCAGTGAGCTATGAGGAGTGCAAAGGAAACAAAATCAGTAACGAGGCGGCAGCTTCACTGTTCACTGACCTTATTTAGAGTTGACTCGGAAACAAAAAAAGATAGCTCTGACCCAGGTCCATAACTTTGCATCCATATTTTTGGGTCGATGTTATTTGGAAAGTAGACGGAAGAAATGATCAGCATTGCAATGCTCATAGAACAGATTTACTGGTCTTAGGAGCTGATTTATGGGCTGGAGATGTTGCCTCACCTGTGGGAGGTCCTGGATCCCATTCCTGGTAACCAACCAGGAAAAAAAGACGACTAACACATTACCATACTGGTATTGTACCTCCTCCTCCCCAAAGAATTTCACTCAGAAACTTGCTTTTCCACAAGAGCAGTGCTATTTCTAATTGTAAAGTACTTTGGAAGAAAGAAAGAAAAAGACTGACACAATATAGCAGACAACCTCGTAAGTTTAAAGTAATGTTGGATCTTTAAAAAATTATTTACTTATTTGTATATGTTTGTGATACATAATAAATACATTCACTGTGGGAAATTTGTACATATATGTATCATGTCTTGACCCTCTTTACTTCCCCATCCCTTTTGCTCCCTTAAATACTATTAATTATGCAGTTTTTATCTATTTTAAAGTAGCTCTCAGTAGCACATGCCTGTAATCCTAGCACCTGGGAGGCTGAAGCAGGAGGATCATTGCGAGTTTGAGACCAGCCTGAGCTACAAAACTCAAAGCCAGCCTGAACTGCATATTGAGACCCTGTCTCAAAAAAACAAACAAACAAAAAAGTAGATCTGAAAAATAAAGTTTTACAAATTGACCATAAACTACTGACATTTGGCCTCACTTTATGGAAAATATTCCAAAAGATTTGGGGTTTTAAGGCAAATGAATACTTAATTTTCAATGGCATTGGCTGAGCCAAATGCAAAAGCATTTTCAAATGGGGTAAAGTCCAATCAGCGTCTTTTCAGTTTGCTCCTTGATTACTCAGCGAGGACTAAGAGGTTTCAAAGGTTGAGATTTCAACCCCTTCTCCTTCTGCTGGCTCAAGGTATAGTAAATTGAAAACCTCAGCAAAGCAAAGAAAAAAAGTAGAGGGTGGTGTGTCAGGGATTTTCAATGAGAAGAACAGACATGGCAGGGGATATAGCACAAAACTCCATAGGAGGGAATGAGTCACGGAAAATGAAAAAAAAATTGAATTTCTTCTGGTCTTTACTGATAGCCTTAGAAAAGAGGGAAAATTTGATGGATTTATTTAATCAATCTAATTCAAAGACTTCTGCTCAGATAGAAGTATCAAGGGATGAAACAAATCAGCTTTCCTATTCTCAAATGTGAGTTCTTTCATAAGGTTTTTTTTTTTTCTGTTTTTTTGGCTTTTTGAGACAGGGTCTCACTTTGCAGTTCAGGCTGCCCTTGAGCTCACTTTGTAGCCCAGGATGGTCTTGAACTCACAGTGATCCTCCTGCATCAGCCTCCCGAGTGCTGGGATTACAGACGAGTGCCACCATGCCTGGCTAATAATGTTTTGTGGTGTTAATTTTTTTTTTTTTTTCTTTTTGGTACCAGGACTCAAACTCAGGACCTTGCACTTGCTAGGCAGGCCCTTGTACCACTGAGCTATATCCCCGGCCCTGTGGTACTAATTAAAATAGTTTAAATGGTTTTACCATGGGATAAAATGTGACTTATGAAGTTGCGGTCTCTCGCCAAGATCAGTGCAAATTGACAGTCCAATAAGCTTTAGCCCTCTCAGTTTATGAATTAGGATGCTAGGGCAGTTATGGGATCAAATATATTCTGGGGATACAGCGTGCACCAAATTGGAAAGAAAGGGTTGTTGAAGATTAATATTTCTATTTTTTTAGCACTTGGAATTTAGAGCAGTCTATTAACGGTGCAATGTACTTTTTTATTTTTTGGTACCGGGAATCGAACTCAGGACCTTGCCAGGTAGGTGGTTATGCCACAGAGCTATATCCCCATCTGCTAATGGTGCAATGTTTTTGTTTGTTTTTGTCTTTTGGAGACAGGATCTCGCTATGCAGTTCAGGCTGGCCTTGAGCTCACTATGTAGCCCAGGCTGGTCTTGAACTTGCAACGATCCTCCTGCCTCAGTCTCTCAGTGCTGAGATTACTGGAGTGCGCCACCACGCCCAGCCTAATGGTGCAATGTAAGCCAGGAAAGGAACCCTCTCTTCCTCCAGAGGAACCATTGTTCAATTACATGCCTCTCTTTAGACTGTGATCTTTTGTAACATAAACTCTAAATGTGTCATGTGATTAACACTGAACACAATGCAGAAAAAGTATTAGAGTAAATATGTTGAGAAAGATGATTAACAGAAGCTTATTAATTTTTTTTTTTTTTTTTGGACTGGGAATTGAACTCAGGACCTTGTGCTTACCAAGCAGGAAGCTCATTCAATTTAAAAAAAAATTTTTTTTTTGTCTTTTTGATACAGGGTCTGGCTATGCAGTTCAAGCTGGCCTTGAGCTCACTTTGTAGCCGAGGCTGGTCTGAACTCCCAACGATCCTCCTGCCTCAGCATCCTGAGTGCTGAGATTACAGGCGTGAGCCACCATGCCCAGCTCATTCAATTTTGAATACTGAATTCTTTTTTTTTTTTTGGTACTGGGAATTGAACTCAGGACCTTGAGCTTGCCAGGCAGGTGTGTATGCCACTAAGTGATGTCCCCAGCCCTTTCCATTTTTTTTTTT